TTCGGCAGGAGTGATGACAGGGATGGTGATGTGGCTGGAAATGATGCCAGGGATGCTGGATTTGTTAAAAAGCAATGCCAGGGCTGCTGGATTTGGTGAAAAGCAACGCCAGAGCTTCTGGATTCGGCAGGAGCGATGCCAAAGGCTTGGCTGGGAGCAATACCAAGGGTGCCAGGAGCGCCAAGCTGGGTGCGAGCGACACCAGGGTCCCCACCCTGAGCGTGTCCCTCGTGTCCCAGCCCGTGCGGGGGCCAGCCCCGGTGACAACCCCCGCTCCCAGCGCCGCCGGCACAGGACGAGCCGGCACAGCCGTAGGGTTGGACCCGTTGCCCGGCGAGCCCGGCGCGGGTGACGGCGAGCCCGGCGGCGGCGCGGCCGAGCGGCCGCCGTGCCCCGGGAGCTGACGGCGCTCTCCTTGTCCCCGCAGTGGAAGGGCAGTGGCTGGAGTGGGGCGCCTGGAGCCGCTGCTCCGTCACCTGCGCCAACGGCACGCAGCAGCGGACGCGCAAGTGCAGCGTCTCGGCCCACGGCTGGGCCGAGTGCCGGGGGGCCCACGCCGACGCCCGGGAGTGCTCCAACCCCACCTGTCCCAGTAAGGCCCCGCGCGCTGGGGGGGAACGGGGGGACGGCCCCGGCGCCGCGGTGTCACCGCCGGTGACACCCCGAGTGCTGGCGGCCCTCTCCACTGCGGGGAGCCTGAGGGTGATGCCAGTGTTGGCGTTCAGGGACGCACAAAAAATCGTGGGATATCATTATCTGCATGTGTGCGTTTATTGAGAGCTCTGGGAGTCGGGGTGCAGACCCAAATCTGACTCCGACACGGCTCTCAAGCTGAGCGTATTTCATATTCTGTCGTTATATAACTTACGTATCAATTATTAAACTCAGATTGTTCTATTGTATATATTGACTTTATTCAAGCATGAGTTTCTCGTGATCTTTCTTAGGCCCCTGACCGCAGTTTCTCATGCTTATTCTTACGATTAAACAGTAATTATATTTAATTACTAAACAATCATCACATCTAACAATTCTATCATTTATCATGCACCAGCTACACAGGCACAGTTCTAGCAAGGCACAAGGCCTACATGTACCAAGGGTATTTATTTTTTTTCAGGGTCTACTAAGCTTAACTTTCCTTCTAACCTTAAATCCCCATGATTTTAAAACCCTTTTACTATCACCAGGACCACCAGGCATGTTTCAGCTAGAGGAACCGGGGGTTGGCACTGTCCTCATCCTGGGTGGCGCTGGGGACCCGTCGGTGCCAGGGCGTAAAAACACGAGGGAGATCTCCGGCGTGCACACGGGGCCGGGGATGGCTCTGGGCGCGGGGACGCCAGGCAGAGGATGGACCACGGGGTCCCCATCCTGTCCTTGGAGCCGCTCCTTGCTTTGTGGGAGAAGCGGTGGCACCACTGGCAGCCACGGAGGGAGGTGGTGGCTATGCCGTGGTGCCCATGGATGGTGGCAGGGAACGAGGGGCATCTGCAGCAGGATGCCAGTCTGCTCCAAAAGCGATCTAAATCGCCGATCCACGCATTTCACACCCCGCGGGATTGCGGCTGGCGGCGCGCGGGGCAGCGCCGGTGCCACCCCATGCGCGGAGCCGGGTGTCCCACGGTGTCCCCATCCCCACAGCAGACAGCAAGTGGGGTCCTTGGAACCACTGGAGCCTCTGCTCCAAGACCTGCGACACCGGCTGGCAGCGGCGCTTCCGCATGTGCGAGGGCACGGGCATGCAGGGCTACCCCTGCGAGGGCACCGGCGAGGAGGTGAAGACCTGCAACGAGAAGAAGTGCCCAGGTACAGGGTACCCCGCACCCCCCCAGCGCCCCTCGCCCCACAGCTGGGCAGCGCTGACCCCCCTTTGCCCCCCAGCCTACCACGAGATGTGCAAGGACGAGTACGTGATGCTGATGACCTGGAAGAAGACGGCTGCCGGGGAGATCATCTACAACAAATGTCCCCCCAACGCCACAGGTGACCCCAGATGTCCCCAAGGCTGGAGGGGTCAAGGGGTGGTGGGTGGCATCGGGGTTGAGCACCCCAAATCCCCAGGGGAAGGGGGTGGCATTGGGGTCAAGCCTCGTGGGGCAGGGCGGGGGGTGGGGGGTGACATTGGGGTCGAGCAGCCCTAAATCCCCTGGAGCTGCGCAGGGCGCTGTGGGTGGCATCGGGGTGCCAGGAAGGGATTGCAGTGACAGCCCCAATCCCAAATTTCCCTCCCAGGGACTGCCAGCCGCCGGTGCCTGCTGAGCCCCCACGGGGTCGCCTACTGGGGTGTGCCCAGCTTCGCCCGCTGCGTCTCCCACGAGTACAGATACTTGCATCTCTCAGTAGGTGCCCGCTCCGACACGGCCCCTTCTGTCCCCTGTCCCTGTCCCTGCAGCTCTGTCCCATCCCTGGCGCTCCAAGAGCCACCTCACCTCTCTGGCATGGGGAAACTGAGGCACGGCTCTGTGGGTGGATCCCATCCGGGCTGTGTCCGTGGGAAATGGTTCTTGGGAGGGGAAGGTTCCCTCAGATCCCTGTGAGGGTGGGAATAGGGATCCCATCCCAGAGCTTGAGGGGGGCTGTGTCCCCCTGTGTTTGGGAAAAGGCTTTTGGGATGGAGAGGATGCCCCCTGACCCCCGCGGATGTCCCCAGACCTCCCTGGATGTCCCCAAAACCCTGTGAATGTCACCAGACCTCCCTGGATGTTCCCAAACCACCATGCATGTCCCCAAACCCCTGCGAATGTTCCCAGACCACCCTGGATCTCCCCAAAACCCTGTGAATGTCACCAAATCCCAGTGAATGTCCCCAGACTCCATGAATGTTCCCAAACCACCGTGATTGTACCCAGACCACCTTGGATGTCCCCAAACCCCTGTGAATGTCCCCAGACCACTGTGAATGTCCCAACACATTCCTGGATGTCCCCAAACCCCTGTGAATGTCCCCAGACCACCCTGGATGTCCCCAAATCACCGTGAATGTTCCTAGGCTCCATGGACATTCCCAAACCATCATGAATGTCCCCAGACCACCCTGGATGTCCCCAAATCACTGTGGATGTCCCCAAACTCCTGTGAATTTCCTCAGACCACCCTGGATGTCCCCAAACCCCTGTGAATGTCCCCAGACCACCCTGGATGTCCCCAGACCACCTTGGATGTCC